TATTGTAACAACGTTTGATAAAAAATCATTTGTATGATATAAAAAGTCAAATTTGTGTTGTGTTTACATATTGAGCTTAAATATAATCATACGATATATGTAAGAAAACTAATCTTATACCTAGGTGAATGCACACACATGAACTTGAATCTTTAACTCTTGATTATCGTGTGTTGAAATTCTGTAAAGAGAAAAAACAAACCACAAAAACTAGAAGATATATTAGCTCTAAATTGTTTGATAAATCATTATCAAAACCATAGGACCAACACTCTAGCACTATTTATAGCTTACAACAATGAATGAGAGCCCTTGAATATTACTTAGAGATCAAGGATTAAATCTCATCCATAAAATAGTTTCTATTGTAAACCAATCAGTTGACCAATCGATTAACCAACTGATTGACCAATCAGTTGGCCAACCAATTGGTTTGCAACAAATTTAGTTTTTTTTTGTGATTTCTTGACCTGATTTCTTCATAGATCCTTGAACCTTCTTGGTCCTTCTTTTATCTTCATATTTTGACTTCAATAAATAGTAAAAAATCAGGGAGTTTGATTCTTTTGGGCTTTTATTCATTAATCCTTCATTAACCTACAAATTAAAATAAACCATGTTTATTAGTAATATTTTTATTTAAATAAAATAGATAATAAGGGTATAAAATATAATAAAAATGTGATTATCAAATACTCCTACACCTAAATTTTTGCTAGTCCTCTAGCAAAGAGATAAATTAAAAATAAAATAAATAAAATCCTAACTCACTTTTGTAGGATTCGCAGTTATATTTAGCGCATACAACAAGCATTTAAACCCCTAAGTTATCCTAAAGGACGAGTTGTAGTCTCGTGAATGTTTGCAGTGAATGTACCCACAAAGTTCTATTAACTTGTCAATTTAAAGATTTTAGTGAATAATTAATTTATTTGATGCCTTTAAACAATCTAGTTATAGCTTGTTTTTATTCAAGAAAATATTTTTATGTATAATTCCAAAGTAAACTTCTTAGAATTTTTTATTATAGTTATACTAAATCAAGTCTGACTTAGAAATTTAATTAAAAGTTTTGAAAAGAACATGCTAACTCTTTGTTTTAAACAATTTTCAAGTCTCTTAATCAAAATTATTTTTTAAGAACATATATACAAATATAACTATATTATATATAAAACATTGTTAGTATATTTTTCACTCTTTATTCCTTAGTGATTTTATTCTACTTTATCAGGCTTTCTTAATGACCATTTAACGAGTTTTGGGACTATGAATTCCAACTGAATTAGGCTTGAGTCATTAAGCATAGAAATACTCTTTGGGCTTAATTACTCGGTTAAATTAAACTTAGTAAGATAGAATCACCTTGAATTTTGAGAGAATTTTTATTGATGCCCATTTTTCACACTCTTCATCAATTTAATTAATTTTTTACTTTCTCTTTTTTATAATACTAACTAAAAACTAAGAAAAACAAAAGGAAGAAATAAAGCAAAATAGAAGGTAAAAGATACTAAAAACTAAGAAAAATAAAAGAAAAATTAAAATAATTAATGAATAAAGCAAAATAAAAGGAAAAAGCTAACTGGCTCCCACCCATACATATAATTATCCTCAATGCAAACTCTATATTGCATAAAATAAAGCAGATAAAAAATAAAGCACTTACATTTATTCAGTCGACCTAGAACAATGATGAAATATTAAATATCTGCAATTACCTTTGATATGAGGAGGATGAAATAAAAAAAATCTTTTTTCACATCTTTTTTTCACATCTTTTATTTTATATATTTGTTTTCTCTTTTTCCTTTTTTTATTTTTTTTAAAGAACAAGAAACTCTTAAATTAGAGAAGAATAAATTCTTTTTACTATTTATATTATTATGAGACAAAAAGTAAAGATGTAGAATGACAAATTAAACATAAACAACTCATATTCTACATCAAAGCCCACCTTATTGTTGAATATCCTTCCTCGGGTTTTGAGGAAATCTAGAATGATAAACTCAAAAATGTGCTTAAACTCTGTGTACTCCAAAGGTTTTGATAATTTTTGCAGCAACTGAAGGTAGATATCAATGGTGTTATGTATTTTGAGAGCCTAAGATTTGAACTTAGATTACTTATTAATGAAAGTTTGTCCTAACACAACCAGTCCTTTAAAAATTTCCTCAAACGTAAGATTCATGGTTAAGGTATAAAAATTTGGTTGTTGCTTATTTTTTAAGAGCCTAAGTTCATCAGCAAACAGTCCTTTAAAACTAAGAGTATAGAAACATGTATCAAACGTAGTTCCTTTGTTTTGAAAGACTTGATCTGATCCTATTTCTTTTAATATCTTCAACTCCACACCAAAGGTTTTCTCAAAACTTAGATCTAAATCATTCTCTTCTTCTATCTCTTCAACTGATTTTCTCTTGATGTAATTTATTTTTAGAGGTTGAGTAGTTGGTTGGTTCCCTAGATTAAAAACGTTAAAATCAGTAGTCATATTCCCAAAGAACTACTCTATTTGACTAATTCTACAGTTGATTAGAGTATTAGAAGTGGTTAAGAACGATCTTCTTAAAATGACTGATATATGACCTTCTAGATTAGAAACGACCTGCGTTTCTAAGACTATGAAATCCACCAAAAAAATAAAATCCCCAACCTTAATCAGAACATCCTACATCTCGCCCATAGAGATTTTGACAGATCTATCAGGTAACTATAAAGTACGTCTGATTTGTTTGATTTCTCCTATACCTAGTTGCTGGTAGACCGAAAAATGAAGCAAATTGACTCTGGCCCCTAAGTCTAAAAGTGTCTTATCAATGAAGGAATTTTCAATGACCACATATGACTAATATGTATTCAGATATTTCACTACAAAACCATATATGTAATTGTTATAGCCGTTTTTATGCTAAAATATAATTTTCAATCAAAAGCAGAAAAGTGTCCCACATTATGCGTAATCGAGCCAACTCTTCACTTCAAGATAACCAAAGACCCAGCTTGGACGAATCGACACGCCGACATCTCGCAAGGACGACTAAAAAGATGTTACATGTTGACCCTTAACTGGGCGACTTCTCGGCCAACCTACTCGACTGGCCATTCGGCTGACATCTCGCGATGGCCACTCAAAAGGTGATACTTCTCGACCTTCTACCATACGAGTAGAAAGGCGATGACTACCTCGAGGCTTGAGCCCCCACCCGCGCACTGGCAGCCAATCACCTCGCAATAAATGACATTAAATGCATTATGGGTGCCATGATATCTCTTGCCCAAATAGTCTTTATGACACATCAGACCACGTTGGCACGGTATGCCCCCATCACTTCACCTTAAATGCCGAAGTGACCTCTCCTACACTCGCCGACCGATACCTGTAAAGCAAATGCTGACTTGGCCGTCAGCTCATACTCGGTCGAAATTACCATCCTACCCCCCTAATGCCACTATAAATAGGGGTACTATTTTTAACAATAGGGTAAGATCTTTACCTCTACCTATTGTGCTCAAGAACTACGACTGTTCATTTTATTTCTCCATTAAAACAAAATACTGACTTGATTGTTGGAGCAATAATCGGGGAACCCAACCCCGCCCTCTTACGATTTGCTACATGTGCAACGAAGAACAATACACATTATTAGAACCAGACATTCGGAGGGTTAGAGGACCACTGTCAACTAAACAGCTTCTTTCATTGATTGTTTGATATCAACCATTAACAGTAACCATATCCTATCAGTTATAGATTTGAGTAACTATATTCGTATTTTAACGGATACGGTTACGAATATTTCCTCGGATACAGATACTGTTTGGCACCCCTAATGCTCACTCATACATGTATTTCATCAGTCCCCCACTATGTGCACTTGACTAAAGCCCACAGGACTTAAAATACCCATCTAATTAAAATTTGGGAGCCACGATTAAGATTTTTAATTCCCCCCTTCTCTCTTCGGTTTCTCCCGCGACCCATTAGCCCGTAGGCCTCCTCATCCTGCCCCTATCTTCTCGTCGGCTCTTTCTATGTCGTCTCAGTTATCAGGATCGTCCTTCAACTGCCCTTTGCTTTAACCTTTTAGTGAGTTAATATTGTTTTTCTATATATAAAATTTAGGATTTTTTTTGGGTGGATTTCGGTACTCAATTTGTTTTGATTTTGGTGCAGGTTTGAATTTTTCTCACAATTGCAATTCTCATCTAGGCTCTTGTTTGGTGTATTTGCTTTGGAACATGACATTGAACTTACTCATGGCTACGACAACTATGGAAAAAGATTTTTCTGCAATAAAGTTGACAAAAAGCAGCTCGCAGGAATAAAATGAGTGATGATTGACTTAATGATTGCTTAATGATATATATTGGGAAAAGATGTATTAAATAGTGTTACTAATGATGCATTTATGTACTTTTTCAAAATATGAGAACTCCGCAGGAATAATTAGAAAATATTTACATATATACCCCTTAAATCATGGATATTTGTAAAAAAACTACACTCTAAATCTCAGTATTTGTAAGACGACCTCTTAAGTCATTAGTTTTTAAAAAAATTACACTCAAAGCAACTAATCATCAACTTTGATAAGTAAATTTGTAATCGTAACGTAAAAATTATCAACAAAATAATTAGATTTTTAGCACTAAGTTAATAAGTTGTTTATTTTTGATTTCTGGGATTGTTTTGCAGATACTAAGAGGTGGGGGTGTTTTGCAAATATCCATAATTTGAGGAGTATATTTGCCAATACTCATAAAGCAAGCGGTATATATATATATGCAAATGACCCAGTTTTTTAAAAGAGCCACTGCTGTAGGCCTTTTTTTCCTGCTCATGATAGTAAAAACGACAGGACAATATGCACATTGATGCGTGGATCCGCTAAATATTTCAGCAGAAATTATGTTGGCATGAAAACAATAAAACCAAATGTCGGATTGCATACCAATAAAATACTATGCCGAAGGTTCATAATTCAATATATCAAGATTGCCATAGTCATCGTCGTTTAAAACAGCCTGCAGTTTGGAAGAGTAACCTCAGAATGATAGACGGGAAAACGTGGAAAATTTTTGTTGGATCCCTAATGAACATTTCACAATCACGCACAAGTTTCCAAAGAAATACTACCATACATAACAGTATAAAAATCTCTAAGACAAGTAACCATTAAGATTTTCAAATTCCGAATCAACATCTTCGCTATCAGAAGAATTCCGTGGTTCCCAAAACTTTAAACTTCGATCCTCGTCAGGGGACGATAAAGATACAGAACAGTTGGAGAAATCCCTGAAACAGAGAACTCCTTGTTCCTCATAACAACCGCTGGTAACAATACAAGATCCATAAACACCCATCGCTGACAGACCATCATAGTTTTGAGTTTCACCAGGAAAACGACAATCGAGCTGATTGGCTAAGAGCCCTGTATCAGTTTCCCATATGTTTGGGTGGTAATCGAGTGGTCCGCCAGTGACAACTTTGTAAGAGTCCATATGTAACATATTGACAAGGCTACCATGCTCTAACTCAGCTACTGCGTTTGGATTTGGCTTTGCTTGGTTCTTCCTCATGTCCCAAAGGAGAGCCCTAGATATGGGGAATGGTTGAAAATAATTATAAGAAAATCAGTTTAAGAAATAAGAGTCAGCACAACTACACGTCCAAGATGAATCAAGAATAGTATGATTTGATGTACATATCAATGGATTAACAAGTTTTATATTTGTTTACTTCATTTTATTTTGATGTAAAATTTAGCATAAGCGAATAAACATAGAATAAAAGATAACTGGGTCAATTGCAAATAGACCCCCTGTAGTTCCACTTAACGGATAGACCCATGTACAATCGTCAAGCTGTGGATATACCCCTTGCATGTGTTTTCTTTCTTTTTATTTACTCAACCATCAGCAAAAGAAATTTGGTGTTTGACAAATAGACCACCTTCGGGTGAAAGGGCCAAAAATATCACTCAGGGGGCCTAGCTACAAAAATTGAACTCAATGGGGCCTATCTGCAATTGGGAGATAGTACTGCAGGTCTATCCACAATTAACCGAATATAAATGCATTGGTTGAAAGCAGGTAACAAATGAGGTTATATCACTGATTGTGAAAGAAAATGGTGTTAAGAAGGAAAAAATGTCATGGACCTTCGTTACAGCCAAGGGCGGATCCAAGTGATGCCCGGGGTGGGTAGCTTCACCCCTGGAAATCTTATTTTTGTACATCATGTTGAGAGCTTTCTGAAAACATATTATAATGGTGATTATGATAACCGAGTCAAAAGTTACGGGCTATGCAAGTTTCAGCCTCTGTGCATGTTTCCAACCTGCTGCTAATTGTTTTGACATTGCCTTGTTAAAACATTCTTATATATCTCCGAATTGAGTTCCCTTTATTTCTGTAAATAGATACTTGTTGTCCCCCACCCCCCACCCC